CAAGAAATGGATAGATATTCTAGTCTTCTCGGATAAGGACGAATAAACCGTAGGCCCCGTCTCCTGCAGGGTTAGGGGTAGGAGACGTCAATTTCCCACGCACGAGATTACTGTGTGGTGGATGTCCTCCCCTGGGTGGGATGGGTGGGAATTGGCCCTGAAAAGCCCCTATGGGGAGTGGTCAATTGACCTATGTATGTATGTTACACTTATGAAGGAAAGATATGCAGACCAACGTCACTTTTCTAAACCTCTTAATGATTTTGTTCTCTACAACTAAGTTATTCATCCTCTTGGCATGAAATTTCGAATTAGTCATTGGAACTTTAAGGCTTGGCAAGGTCCTGTTAAGAGCTGAACACATAGAATTTAATTCTTCGAGGACGGCTGTCACTGGATAAAAAATGTTCATCTTTTAACCATCATAACGGTGAAGGATCGATAGTCTGCGGCAGACGTGTTTGACCGTTCACAGAGTTCTTTTTTTTTTTTTACTGGTATTCCATCAGTCGTTTAATCGAGTGAAACGAATTGTCGGAGAGATTAACGTAGTTAAAGGCCAGACATTTTTTGTCACCTGGGAGGGGGGGGGGGAGGTGGAAAAGCGTTGCGGATTTAAGGTGGAAGCACGCAGGGAACGGAGGTGGCTCAGTCGTCACTTTCAGAGTATATAGGGGGAACTATAGAAGACTGACTGCCAATTGACTGTCAGTGAGGGGGGTCATAATATTAAAATAGAGTCCTATAAGGAATCAGGTAAATTTGATCTTGACCCAACCAAACCGTTTGAGCCCCTCCGGCGATAATTATAGACTGTTCTTAACCTTGACCTTTTCTATTAAAATATAACCTACAATTTAGAAAACACTAGTCACGCTGTTTCGTACATGGGAGAGCTCGGTGACAAGATAACGAGTTACAGGCCTATATCATTAGAATGCTAGAGAGCCTTTCGAGGGGATCATGTAAGTTTTATAGTGACACAATCCCTCCAACCCCCGCTCTGCTTTTCTTGCTTTTGCACGCACTCGTCTGTTGCGTGCCCATTTAGGGACAATGTCGAACGGTTCGGTTCCTCTATGGCCCTTCAAAACGCGATCAATTGATGTCACAATTTGATATACACATCTATTCAATGGCGGAGGTAAAATTTGTATGACTTCTGGAGCATCATATTTCTCCGTCAAGGAAATCGAGAAGTCGTAAAAAGGTCTCTAAAGGTAAGAGTGTAACAGCAATCTAACCGTGACAAAGGTGAGAATATTTGAAAAAACCTGGTGGAATCAAAGGCCCTAACCGCCTGATTAGTTTTCCGAGTAAACAAATTTTGAATCATCATGTGCAGACAATATTACGGTCAGACAGTTTCGAAACCACCCGGGAATTTTTTCTAGTTTCAATGAACTTCCGCTACCAAACACACCTATCGCTTGTGGTAAACAACATTTTAATTTGAAGCCACTGTCCCACTTGTTCGAACTAAGAGATATTGCTTTCGCCAGAGGGTCAATACGATTCCAAGATTTGTTATCAAGACTTCGTGATTGAGAATATAATAAGCAACAATAGAAGATAATATTACATAATGGCGGTCACATTATAGCGAGTTCGGCCTTGATGTGGAAAGTTAAAAGAGGTTTAAAGTACATTTTAAACTTGAGAAGTTTCTTCAGTGATTGTTGGACTATGGAAAGAAGGCCAAATTATATTCGGGAAATGACCTTACTCTCTTGCATCACATACGGTCTGTTATCAAGACTTTTGCTTAACTATTTGAACCACAGTTTGATTACAAAATGATCAAACCGTAACAATAGAATTTTACTGAGCACACTTTTGTACATTCACCCAAACTGATATAATTCCGTGGAATCGCCAGAGACTTGTTGGTGGTCAGAATACCTTAAGAGCTTACCCTTAAGAGTAAACATCAGGCCCCGGTTGTTCAAAGGATGGATATAACGCTATGGACTGAATAAATCTTTATCCGGTGGATAGCGCAGTACGTTTTGGTAACACTTCTCCCCTGGATACCGATTTATCCGTTGGATAGCGTTATCTGCCCTTTGAACAACCGAAGCCAGATGCCTGCCTGAGGGAACAGTCATTAGTTATTACCTGGCTCCCCGGTCGTGGGCCAACTGAGCAGAAAAACCACTAAAGAAATTAACTGCTGAACTGCCAGTGAGAGAGGGGGAGGGGTGCATGGGAGAGTTCAGTGACAAGTTAACGAGTTTCAGACAAAAAGTTAGGTTTTTCATCGTTTCTCAGAGACTTAAAAACGTAACCGCTCTAAAGAACGTGTGACCATCGAAGTTTATTGCAGGTACAAATGTCTTCACGAACCGAAAGTTGAACGAGCCTGAGAATGCAGATTGTAGTATATTGCGTTATATAAAGTCATATAA